CGCCATCAAGCAATTCGGAATGATGCCTTCCAAGCTGTTAAAGCTGCCCGATTCCGAAGTACCACTACTGCTCAGAAGCGACCAGCCAAACATGTTCCTATTCCGCCAGGTGATATGCTCATGGTGCATGGAAACATGTTCATTACCAATGTTGGACACAGCAAGAAACTGCAACCCCAATGGTGAGGACCTTTCAAGGTCTTATCCTTTGACGAACATATAGAGAACTACACTGTCCAGATGGATGGACGCATGTACCGCCGCAATACTGCAGTATTCCACGCCTCTGCTGTCAAACGATTCCACCCAAATGACGACTCCAAGTTCCCTGGAAGAACCCACTCTCGACCCACGCCTATCATCATCGATAAGAAAGATGAATGGGAAGTTGAAGAAATCAGAGACCACCACCTTTGGCATGGAAATGATCAATTCCTAGTCAAATGGAAAGGATATCCAACGAGCAAAAACAGTTTGGAACCATTGGAAAGACTAGAGCACGCTATGGATATGGTGAATGGATGGTGGAGAGACAATATGCCAAACGGATCCCTCCCCCCAACAATCAACTACATCACCATGTGCTGGACACCCACAATGCCGGAAACTGAGCGATAGCATGCAGAACTCGAAGCTAGAGATGGATTTTGGGCGCCATACTTTGAATCGGAATTCGAAAGTAGCGATGATGAAAATCAAGCTATGGAGCAGGCCCTCAATAATCTTATCTAGTCACCAATCACAATCCGAATACCATAACGATGTCAAACTATGTGGAACTCAATGTGAGGCTGCGACAACAGATTGTTGGACTGTTGTTGAACCGCGATGCTATCCAACTTGAAGACTACTTCGAAATCCTCTCGATAGACTACTGTCCTGATTGCGACCATGCTTGGGTTGATGTACAGCGCGAATCTGGTATTCGTGACTACTGTGATTTACCTTTCTTTGAGTCTAAATGTTTCCTTAGAGTTTTCTCTTGTCCCTGGTGTGACACTTATGATGAAGAGTTTTTAGCGGAAACTGAAGCTTTTAGTTTCTCAGACTCCGCTTTTAATGATTATTAGGTTTTGTTTGTTTAAACAGTTGTTTTGTTTTGGGGAATGTAACCGGTACGGGTACTCGGTTATTGGTTTTGTTTTATGTTTTATTTTAAGTATCGTTTGATACTTGGTCTTGTTTTATGTTTAGTTTTAAGTATTGCTTTGATACTTGGTTTGTTTTAAGTATCGTTTGATACTTGGTTTTGTTTTATATTTTGTTTTAAGTATCGTTTGATACTTGGTCTTGTTTTATGTTTAGTTTTAAGTATCGCTTTAATACTTGGTTTGTTTTAAGTATCGTTTGATACTTGGTTTTGTTTCTCAGTACACCCTCGAAGCCTCCTTTAGTTCTCTGCTCTCGCCTCCTCTCCGGAAGAGCAGGCCACCTGCCAACTATCATATCCTTTACTGATAACGTGATTAGCACCTTGCGAACATGTTACACTTGATGCCTAAATGCGGAATATTGCAAGCCTTTTTTGGTCGTCCTCCTTGAGGGGCAATCCTTTGCATATGCCTTCGTTTCTTGTTTGGTGGGGGCATCTGAATTGTGATGTGGCTCTGAGTATAGAGTACTGTTGTAGTTACTATTGTTATCTTACATGGCTGGTCTCTAATGCCCCCTTTACCCATACTCATCAATTCTCACTCATCAATACCTCACAGTATATTTCAGCATGCTACTAGGTATATTTGGTCCCCTGTTTCACTCTCACCAAATTTTTCACTTTTTATTCTGGGACTCCTCTTACTATGAATACTTAATTAAGAAAGAAAAACCGCTACCCTGTTCTCCTTGGAAGTACCTTCATTGTAGCTGTTTTTTTTTATCAAAATTCCATGTTTTGGTGGACTAGTCCCAGATCGTATTTGGCCTATTTTGAGGTCCCGGTTTGACCTCATTTGCACTATACTTGCTGTACAATAACTTGGTGATAAAGAAAATACGCTTCGTGCCGTCTTATCATACATTTTTTGCACCATACGGAATTTCGCCTATGGCTGGCCAGCCCTCTAGGGTCGAGTGTCAGCCACTGCCGTCCCGCGTAGATAAACTATAGCGTAGGTATATCACCAAATTCGAAGAAAGAAAGAAAAAGAAAAGACACGGTGTAGTCTGGCAAGTCATAAGAAAGTCGTTTCCCCTGATTTCTAAGTTGTTGTTTTTTTTTTGTTGCAAATGAAATACTCTATCACAACATTGTATTATTCTTTTTTCTGATTATCCCACCTTGCTGACCTCCTGCCAGATATTTTGTTCTAACCACACCCAGATATCTATACAGCAGCTGCTACTGTATGCGCATCTAGCCCTCGGTTTTTTTTTTTTTTTTGGGGGGGGGCTCTCCGGTCAAAGGGATTCAAGCTTTAGCAACAATTGTGTCCCAGAAAAAAGGTATTTTGAATCCCCCAGATTCCTAGAGCAAACATTTCTGAAGATATTCCGATTTCTTATTACAGCCCGGGCACCTGCCTCTTCACAACGTGCACTGTTTGTAAGAGACAGTAAAAATTCCAGGCACAGTACACACCAACCGACATTTGTTGCGGACAATCCCGAAATAGTGTAAACCGGTCAACACTACACCATATGAGAACCCTCCTCTCTGCCGTCCCCATTGGAAAGTATCCCAACCTGACTTTTCACGGGCAAACTTTTCCCCGCTCGGCCCACACATCATAAACGAAACATTATACCAACGATACACCCCTCCCCACCTATCAAGAGGATAAAAAACATTTTAGGATAGAAGGCCCGCAACTCTAACACCCACCTGCACGCGCATACAAGTCACGAATTTTTCCATCATAATACACATCACGACTATCTACCGTACCGGACCGGACAGAACCACAGATAAGACAAATAAGAAACGGAATTTAGGTCCACAAACCCTTTCACAAGCGGTAATCCCACCAACGACATGACAACTCAAACCATACAGTGTAAAACTATAGTCGGACGAATGAAACCAAACTGGATTAATACTCAATCCGTAGTTAGGACACCATCCGCATCCCATATTCATATTGTTCTGTGTTCCACATTCATCTCAGTTAGAAGAGAAACAACATTGACGGCCAGTCTCTTTCTCAGACATGGGTTTTGGGAAGGTTTCTTCGTACGATTGTTGTGCCTCTTCCTCAGCAGGGCCAGTATACTGGTGGAAACCTCCAGTGTAAGCGGGCTGTTCCTGCTGCTGCTGTTCAAGAGGGGAGGGTACATGGGAGCCGTGGCCCTGCTGAAGGGGCGAGACGTAATCACCCGGCGGCCAAGCTCCGGAGTTTTGGATGTGGGCGTAGAGATATCCTTCTGGATCTGGGGCCGGGAGGTCATTGATCCAGGATTGCAAATGCTGGTAGCCAGGATCGACAGCGGGGCCAGAGAATTGTTGGGGATTGGGCCCACCGACAACCGTGTGATTATTTGTATACTGATCCATGTGGTACTGACGATTCTGTGCAGCCCAGAAGGCGGGGTCGTAGTGATACATCACACCGTCAACGCCGTAATAGTATAGTTGGGCGGAGGCATTGAGCCTGAATAGGTTACCAGGAGAATCGGCAGGTGAAATGGATGCACCAAAAAATGGAGCCATTCCGACCGTTAGACCATAGACAAGCCCAGTATGATAAGGTGTGCCGGCATTATATTCATGATAATTGTAGCCCGGAGCGGAGTGATATTGTGACCTTTCTTGACCGTTGGAGCGTTGAACATAAGTGACTTCAGGCAAAGCAGACGAGTTAGAAGGTTGCATCCCTTCATGCTCGGTAGGAGAGGTAGGACCGGCACCTGCGTGAAGGGTCCCTTCATCCCAGGCGTGCTCTAGAGGGGTAAAATGCGCGTTGACGTTCATAGCTCCTGCAAGAAGTAGATCGCGACTAGATTGGCCAGTGTTGCCCACCACATTCTCACCCTTCTTGGCAGTGTCAGTGCTGTGCTTTGGGTGCCTTTGGGATCTCGGCTCGACAGATCTTAGCGCCCGATCAACATTGAGACTCTCGTTAGCCCTTCCCAGATCCGCGCGATGGAGTGTCTTTGTGTTGAATCCATTGTTTGCGAACTCCTGGAGAACGGTCGGGGAATCGGTATACACGTCGCCGAGGTGGCCGAAAAAGCACTCGATACCACGGCGACAACCAGTAGAAGAAAGATCATACTGGCATCGCTTGGTCCATTTGATGGGGCGGGGGCGGATACTCCTAGGCGTGTCATTGTGCAATTGCTGGTGAGGGTTGGAAACTTGGACAGCAGGAACCGCAACTGGGGCACCAGCATTTGGGGAACTATTGGTGGTAATAGAGGACGGAGCAGCTCTATTGGTAAGTGCAGGTGAAGCAGCTTTATTGGTTCCATTGCGAGTAGCAAATCGACGGTGATTAGCCGCTGCCACACGGCTATTGCGATGCGGGGAGCCGTTGTTAAAGGCTGCCTCCGGCACATAAGGGACTCGTCGGTTATCCCTTTCTCACGAGGAATTCTTGTCAGTAAAGGCTAAAAGATGAATAAAAAAGACGGGAAGAACTCACATTCTGAGAACCACGTAAGGGGTATACAAGATATGATGGAGAAGGGAGGATCGCGCGGGAAGGGTACAAAAGAAAGTGGTGGATGTTGAGAGGGGAGGGAGAAGAGGAAGAACGGTGAAAAAAAAAAAAAAAAAGTTTTGTCCCCAGCGGGGAAGGCGAAGCCCCAGCACTAGCAAGTTCCACAGATACTGATCCTCTTACCCCAAACCAGTCCTGAATCTTCATCACCCCTAAAACTGCTTGGAGAGGGGGGGAATTCAGTGGACTAATGGGGGCTATCCTGGAATCAGTGTTTTTTTTTTTGAAAAATCTAGGCATATCTAGCATGCATTATTACAAAGTCCAGCATCGACAGCTGGGCTCACGATGTTTACTCATAAGCGCAGACGTCAGGCCCGCACAAATAATCGTGACTCCATACTAAATCATCGAAATATTAGAAGGCCAAACAAACGGTGTGAGATAGCCGTGCCTCTTTGCAAATCTACCTCCCCACCCTCCTAGGCTCGTACAAACACCCCTTCGCCCCCCTCCAAACCAGCTCCAAAACCCTTCTATTCGGCAGCAGCGTCTACAACCCGGTTCATTAGCCCCTCTCCTGTCGCATCCTGGAGCAGCACTCACTGGGAAAACAACCACAACCCCCTCTTCCCCCTCCACCGCAACTGCCAAATAAAATCTCACTTCAAACCCGCAGAACCCCTCATGAATCCACAAATCCCTAACTGCACTGGTAGGTATAAACCTACTCCTCCTCCCACCCCAGGTGGTAGTGCTAATCTGCACACCAAGATCTCTAATCACTAGCAGGGATTCTTCGGTGTATCCAGGTATGAAGATAGCAATGTACAAACCCGCGATAACGCCGGGCAGTAAGTATCGCCATGAAATTCGCGTCGCAAGAGCGGTGGAGATGTATTGCAGGAGTGGGTGGACGTACGCAGGTACATGGGTACCTAACGTGAAGGTTTGTGGGGGGTAGTGTTTAAGTAGGACGAGTAATACTGCCGAGGAGCATACTAGCATCCGGAGGAGGATAGTGCTCCATGTTACCACCTGGCGCGTGAGGACGCTTCTGGGAGCTGTGGTGACAGTGAACTCGACAGTTGTCGGGGATGGTGAACGGACGCGTAGTTTTGGGTTCGTGGTGAACATATCTGTATGCCCGCTTGTCCGTCGAGGGTAGGACCGGGGAGTACCGTTGGATCCAGATGTTGAGAGGAGGCCAGTTGACGTTGGGAATTACGGGATTCGGAAAATTTGGTGATGACAGTTGTGGAACAGTCAGGCCTCCTTGTGTTACAGATGGTTAGGGGAGTTCGGATATTCCCGTCGCTTGTAGTAGCTAAATCGGGTGAAGTAAGGCAGCGTGTAACTTAGACTATAGGTTTAGCATCACCGGCAGGACTTGGAGCCAACTCATTGAGGCCCTCTCTCGCTCAAAGCTACTACAGTTGGGTAGATTCACAACATTATTAGCATAGGCATAACATGCAGAGTGTGATGGCATGGCGAACAGGGGTTGCGAGCACAAGCCCAATGTCATCATATCATATTCAACACTTAGTCGTCAGCGAAGTGTACCGTACCTCCATCGCCTCACCCACGATTCCCAAGTTTCAATCAATACGTTCAGTACCGTAAATTGCTGCACAGTGCCTGTAATCACTCAATTGACATCACCGGACGGGATTAAAAGATAGCACCAACAAAAAGAATACATGCAATGAATCAGGCCCGGCCCCATTGCAGTACCTACCACACAGTAATAGCCTGTGCTTCGCTCAGACGTGAAATAAAATAAAGGGGAAAAAGAGAAAACACCACAAACTTCCACCACGCTCATGCTCACAAACCATCCCATACACATCAATCAGTCAACCAGCAAACGCCGAAACATGACAATCCATATACCTTTCCTCCTCACAACCTTACACCACCATCCTCCTGCGCAACATCGCCTAGTAACTCCGCCCGCGCATCGTCCCGCGAGCCCCTTCGTATCAGATCTTCGAGCGCCTTTGCAGGTTCACTACTCTGCGCGTTATGCGAGTGGGCAAGGACGTCCGACGGCTTCGACATTTCCTCGTCGGCACTGCCGGTTTCGTCGTCACTAGCAGTTCTGCTTCCTGCTCCGCTACGACTTCCGCCGAAGTCGCGACCGGCTTCCAGCACCGCAAGTTTATTGCGGAGGGCCCGGGTTGTCACGCTTTCAGCTTCTCCGTTCGAAGATCTAGCCAGGCCGCTCGAGGCGTTTGTCCTTAGTTTGTTGGTCTTGCCATGGCTGCACCCGTTGGCGCAACCACCGTAGATTACTTCCAATGACGCCGCGGCTGCCTCCAGCTTTTTCAGGTCTTTTGCTGAAGGGCCGCCTTCTGGCTGTTGTCTATCTTCCTCTTTCTTACGCTCTGCAGACCACGTTCGTAATTCTGTTTTGAGTTCATATTTGTCGGTGACAGGGTTCTTCTCCATAAGAACAAACTGACAATGATCGATATTCTTAAGATCTTCAAAGTATTCCACCGAGTAATGGTACCTGCCAAAATTCAATTAGTGCCCTCCCCCATCGCATCAGATCCAGTCACGTACCATTTCATCAAAAATATCCTCGTCATAAGTCCATGCGTAACGAGCACCAAAACGCTGGGAAAGTCTTCATCGGCAAACTGCCGCCAGAGACTCTCGTTAAACCCACTCACACGATCATAGGCATCCGCCGCCGATTCCCCATTCGGAATCCGATAAAAGAAGTGTCCGTACGCTGCCCGTTCATGCCACATCCTCTCCATCTCAGCCGTGCAGGGTTGGAAATTGCCAAAATCTTGCTCGCGTATCCGTGGCTCCTCGTATACCTTAATCTTGCTTGCGCTAGGGTGCCTAGATAGTTGTGATAGTATCCCGTTGGTAGTCTCACGAGTACGCAGGTACGGGGAGGTGATTATTCGCAGGGTGTCTTCCGGGCGGAGGAGCTTCAGAAGTCGTTCCCCGGCTTCGGCTGCCTACGGGAATTAGCTTGGATGGTCTGGTGGTTTGAGTAAGGTGGGGAGCTAACCTGGCGAATTCCCTCACTTGTTAATTTCACGCGGTGATCTGGTACGGTTTGGTGGATTGCTTTGTTTTCTTGTAGCAGAGGGTCAGATATTGAATTTAGTTAGGGCTATTGAAGGGAACACACTATTTCCTTCGCTTTGAGCATGTCGGATGATGACGATTAGCTTCCCCTCGCCGCCGCCGTCAGCTCCCTTTCACCGTAGTCCAGGGAGGGAACTCACTCTTGGTTTCCCCATCCTGCAAGGTCGACCGGATCTTTGCTGGAGGTTCTAAAGGGTATTATCGTGATTGCTGTTGGCCCTTGTGCGGAGCGAGTAGGTAGGGAGGCTTGCTCAGTTTGTCGATGTGGGTGAGTTCTGTTCTGAGGGTGGGTAGCTTACGTTGTATCGATCGAGAGCTGTATAGTCCCGTGCGGCAGAGTTGAGAATTGCGGTCGTGTGCCAGATTTCCAAACGCGCAGGGCGAGCAAACTTGGTGCGGCGCTGCCTGCTGCTAAATAGCCGTGAGCTAAGGCAACTATTCCTCCCTTCCAGTGGCGAATTCTCTACATAATACCTCATATTCAGCACAGCAAGCCTAAGTACGGCTAATTCAGATCAATTGCGATCGAACCTAGAAAATGCTTGGGAAAATTTTTATTAAACCAATGTCACGTGTATCACCTGGTGTTAAGCCTTGTGTCATACTCGTACACCCTTCCAATCAGCCCCTCAGCTAAATTACGCGCAGTGCTCCTACAGAAGTTATTATACGAGTACCGACAGCCTTCTTCAAACCCTCACCTCACTCCACTTTCAGCCTGACTTCCCCTCCTCAACCTGTATTTCGCAACGAATCATTCGCCCCGACGGGTCGAGACGTGATGGCTTCAGTCGCCAGACTGTGTTCCCGAGTCAACAGCCTCCGCCCTTATAGCCCATAGTTTACCCTAGCTTCAAACATTTTACATCGTAGTCATGATACATTTCGGGAACAATATACTCGTAGTGGCTCCAATGTGGCCGTGGACCTAAAAAGTCATGCTAGACTAGTAATGTCCCGCACTCGAGTTCGTACGAGTACGAGTACTATAATATAGTCGGGCTCATGCTGCTGATCTCTTTCCCATCCAAGAGATGCCCATACACCTGAAAGGGTAGCACTTCGGCTCGGCGCGCGGTCGGTGTTGACAATCGACTTGTTGCTGTGCTGGGGTAGATCTGAGATCTCTCCTGTTCTACTAACACTCACATCGAATCACTCGTGATGCTCAACAAGATTCCATTCTATCAAAGCTGTAATAATACTCAATGCCCGGTAAACAACTACCCTTCTACAGCCCAACTCCCCGCAACCAACACTCCCGCGATAATCCATGCAGGCCACCACACACACCAGACTACGACTTGCGTCCACATTCCCCACACTCTCCATCCGAACGCAGCTTCCTTGAGGATTTCGCTCAACGGCTCCCCCCAGTAGAGTGCCACGCCGACTAGTGCTGTTGTTGGTGTCAGGCCTTGCAACAATGTCATCCAAGCTGCTCCGATCGTCCATTTACGCCTCGGGGTAGGGCTGATGAACGTGATCGGAGAAGCAAAGACGCCAATGAGGAAGGAGAGTGAAAAGTTAAGTGTTGCCAAAGCTGAGAGGAACATTCCTAGCAGGAGGAGCGAAAAGCATTTGATCAAGGTGAAATGTAGAGATGTGGGTGCAAATGATTTTGTAAAGATTGCGCACAGAACCGGTGGAAGAACTACGTTGAGTAGAGTGAAGATATAGAACGCGCCGGCGGAGTTCTACGTAAGGTTAGCGCCGATCTGGTTCCGGGTAGGAGGGATAAAACCTTCTCGTTGAGATTGTTAAATAGGTACAAGGGTATAAATCCTAAGAAATGGATGGCAACGACGAATGCCATCGATAGAAGCAATGGTCGTTCTTCACTAACCGCATCCAGCTGCTCAGTGGAGGAAGGTGCCTCCCCCGCAGACTTCAACAGTCTCTTCTCTTCCGAAACCTTCCCATCGGTGCTCTGGCCTTCCACCTTGTCATTCAACCTCCCACTTTTCAACCAGAGCCCGATAGCAGCAATTGTAAAATTAACCGCAATCAGCATAGCACTTGGCAAGTACGTGCCGATACTAACAAACCTCCTTTCAGCCATCAACAGATAAAAGAAGAAACTCTGATGGAAGTGCTCGAGAAGATTGTTCAAGCTCCTAAACAAGCTCTCTACCGCTCGTCCCAAAGTAACCTCATCATGCCATCCATCGCCGTACGCCTGCAGGGTGATCGCATCGATGTGATACGGAATGAATGAGCTATGGGGACCAGATGCATGGCCCAGCGCTTGATTTACCATCCCACGTAACATGGTGCACAAACGATCTTTGTACCGGTTGTCATGATTCCACATCTCCTGTAACGTGGTACGGATGTTCATCTGTCCGGAGGCAATCCGTACAGCGGTGTTAATAAGATCTAGGTTAGGCAGTTGACCGTTTATTCCGTCGTATACAATGTGCAGAGACTCGAACCCTCGCGACGTTGGGTAGTCCACCACCACAACACCTTGAATAGCACCCGATTTGACAGGAAGTGACGCCACAGCGGGAGGAGCATGCAAGTCGTGGTATGCATCAACCCACGCCTGAGGCCCAGCTCGTGAATCGGAGGTAATCAGGAAGATGATATCCTTCGACCAAAGCGACCATCCTACAACCCATTAGCCATATTGAAAATAACGAAAGAATAAATGCCCACTTTTTAGATACCTAGCTAAGGCCAACACAAGCGCAACACCACTCTCATTAAGTTCCCCCTCAGTATTAACCCAAGCAGCGCACAGCACAAGAGCCTCCGTAGCATCCCCTCGGGGGGCCTGTAATACCGCATATACATTCTCCCCCGCATACACGCCTCCAGCGGCAGCGTATTCGAACTTTTGCTTCCCAACCTTCAGTCCGAATGCATCAAAGATGTCCCCGATCTTCTCCGCCATAACACCGGACCCATCGGCCGAAGCGTTCTTGCCCAGCGTTGTTACTTCATGGCGGTAGGCTCTGAACACGTCCTGCTCGCTTCCGCCGAAGTAGGTGTGTACTTGCCCGGGGAGCAGGGCATTCTCGGAGATGTAAGTACGACGGGAGTAGTCGTCAAGGGGGAGGAGGAGGAGCCAAGTTACGCCGACGAGGATGCAGAGGGCGGATACAAGGGGAAGTAGTTTGAGAATTCGAGTACTGCGTAGGGAGGCTGTAATAGTCAAGACTGGTTATCGAATGCCCGAAGGAACAAGAGGAAGGGGACAGAAAGGTGTAGAGAACTATTTGACAGGAATGGCTCTTACTGAGAATTGACATTGCAAAGTGAGACTCCTGGATATGAGACTACTGCTGAAGTGGTGTTTGTTCTAGCAGCTTCGAAAGTCCATGAGAGCTCGTAAGCTCAGGAAAAGCTGGGAGACAAAGTTCGGTGGACAAGTTGAATTAGTGATTGAATTGCCGGGCTACAGATCTAACTTTCAGTTGCTGCCACATTCATGCAATCAGGGGCCGATGAACACGTGACCAAACAACATCCGCCAAAAATTAGTGAAACTGATCTAATAGGAGGATGAGCGACGAAACACGCTCCAAAGAGAACTCGAGTTGTTCCAAGCCCCAATCGAGTACAGGAGTATAGTTGATAGTATTAGGGTATGGAAGTTGGTGATGGGACGGACGGGGCCCGGGTGGCCGAAGACATATCTCCAGATCGCCGCGCTATGCACATATCTCTTCGGCCATTCGTAACCTGTCTGTCTCATCACTAACCTTCATAGTCTAACCGAGTACTCGAGTACCGTATGGTAGTCTAATTCCGAACCGTGCTTTTGTGGCATGTCACGGGTTTCGTATCAAGATATTATACAGGAGCAAGTTCACAAAAATCCAAGTTATCCATAGAACCACTAAGAACAGTGAGGACACCATTTCCTCTACCGGGAAGCCATAGTAGGTTTAGCAGAGCAGCTTACCAAAACAACAAACACCAGCTCATGAGATCTAGCAAGCTTAGCCTCTCGGAGCTTTGCTCTTTCTAGATAACATCGATTCTTCTCGGGGCATTTTGTCTGATCGGGGGGATCCAAGGCCGATGGGCAATGATGGATTTAAATGGTTTTATCATACAGAACATTCACGTAAGTTCTGCAGATGTGTACTCAATCTATGATAATTTTGCAAAGCCCTCGATAAAACAGAGAATATAGGACACTATCGGATGCCATCTAATGTGCCTTACTGTAACCGACACGACACAACTAGCACTTATCCCATACATTAAAGAAGTGACATTGCGTAAATAAAAAGCCAAAGCAATCCGTTACCAAACGCCGGGGCCCATTCTGCAGGGTACATTTCAATCTACCGTCATGTTAGTAGATATCCGGAGGAATATATAGGGGGCCGTAGCATACCTTCTAGGAAGAAGTAATTTCCACTCAACTTCTGCTCCTGGTCAAGTTGCGAATCCAACTTATTGATCCTAGGTCTAAAAGTGTTCTGATCTCTCCGGAACGTGACGTTTAGTGATTTCAGGAAGGCGTTACAACCAGTCAACAAACTCTGTGGAGCAGTGGCTGTGGCGTCGATGGAAGGTTCACCTTCGAAGACGATAACGCGATCCGCCAGGTATGTCGCCATAATGAAATCGTGCTCGACGACAAACGCAGTCTTCTTAGCATGCATGATAAATCGTTTGATGACACGGGCTGCAATGATACGCTGTTCGGAATCGAGATAGGCAGACGGCTCATCAATAAGGTAGATGTCGGCGGGCATGCCGAGGGCAAGGACTATGGCAACCCGCTGCAATTCTCCCCCAGACAAGTGCTTTACCTCCTGGTCGATAAAATCATCAATGTGCAACGGTTTGTAGACATCAGTTTGAAACTGGGGGTTGAGGAATGAGGATCTAATCCGTTTCAAGAATAGTTCTCGCACAGTTCCAGGGAACTTGGGAGTGATCTTCTGTGGTTTCATAGAGATGCTCATCTTGGGGATCTTCTTGCTTCCATCTGGAGCCTCGACACCAGCAAGCATGCGACAGAATGTTGTTTTTCCGGTCCCGTTCTCTCCCATCATAACGATAATTTCCGAATCGGTAAATTCTCCTTTGTCAACATGGAGGTGGAATTTTCCAAGTGTCTTGTCCATGGCTGGGTATCCAAATGACCGTGACCTATCAACCATGAACTCGTCTCCGGCCTCCGCGATTCTGAACTGGAGAGACTCTTCGCGGAAACGAAGATTCTCGGTAGGGATATGACCATCCAGGAAGATGTTGATCCCTTCACGCACAGATGCTGGCAGCGTCACGACGCCATAAACTGAGGGCTTTCCGTAAAGGACGCAGATGAAATCTGAAAGATAGTCCAAGACCGACAAATCGTGTTCCACAACAATAACGTAGTTGTCAGGTCTAGTTAAGCCGCGGATGGTGCTAGCGGCCTTCAAGCGTTGCTTGACATCGAGATAAGATGAGGGTTCGTCAAACATGTAACTAAAAAACTATGAGCACATTGTGGCAAAATTATACGCTAAATGAACATACACATCCGCCTTTTGTACGCATGCGACAGCAATAGCAAATCTTTGCAGCTCTCCACCAGAAAGCTGTTCAACATCGCGGTCCAAAACAGGACGCAGATCTGCAACCATTAGTCAAGTATTCCCAACGCAGGTCGGCATTTAAACGTACCAAGGATGTCAATCATAGCCTCCATGACTTCATCCCCCCGTGCGCACTGAGCCTTAAGCAATGCACTCACAGACCTCACAGTCCCTCGAATCGCCAGTGGCAACTTATCAACATACTGAGGTTTGACAACCGCCTTAATATTATCCTCGACGACCTTTGTCAAGTAGTTCTGCAACTCCGAGCCACGGAAGTAGGCCAATGTTTCATTCCAATCCGGGGGATTATCGTAACGGCCTAAATTCGGCTTTTGCTTTCCGGAAAGAATCTTCAGAGCGGTGGACTTTCCAATACCGTTCGTTCCAACAAGACCAAGGACCTGACCAGGTCGAGGAGTAGGTAATCTGTGGAGCTTGAATGAATTCGCGGAGTAACGATGGGTGACTTGAGTTTCGAGGTTGGTTGGAAGATTGATGATGTGAATTGCTGTTGGAGGAGACAGGTTCAGTCAATGTTTCTCTTTGCATCAATTTCCGCAGGGGGCAATTCGATGTACCTCCGAAAGGACACTTCTTTGGACAGATACCACAACCTATGCACAGCTGCTCGGAGATAAAAGCGATCCTAGACTCCGGCGTGACCTCGATGCATAGCCTTCCTGTCCTGACGACCGGACACGACTTTTTGCATTCTTGTCGACATTTCTGTAGTTCCGAACATTAGCACCTGTTGCTTTTTTCGTCGCCACGACTATAAAGCCGAAGATCGCGAATTGAATACCTTTGGTTTACACTGCAGAGAGAAAAGCCGTTTAGCGATCGCTGCCCCATATAAAAATGCCTCCGGGGGTAAACATACCTTATCCGTGCTCACAATAGCAATACTATTGGTGGGGAAAAAAGTGTTTAGCACATTCCACTAGAATACCCTTACAATGACGGGAGACGACACATACCGTGTAAGTTTATCAGCCATTTTTATCAAACACTAAGTTGGTACACACTGAAAAAGGAGAGTGAAGGAACGATATGAAATGAGAACATAAACAAGGAGGAGGAGGGGTTGACCGTTGGGTTGAAGGATCAGTGGGGCTAAGATTTAGGTTTCTGTGTGCGCGGATTATGTCAGCGAGGTGGTCATCCCGTCTGCCTGGCCTGCGATTGGCTAAACGTCGGCATTGAGTCATGGAATCTCATGTTGGGGGTGGACTCACAGCAGGCATAACTTAACCTACCGGTACTAATACTCGAGCATACTGGAGTAATTGCTTTTTAGATGTGGTTTGGACAGTCGGCGAAATACTGCTCATTCCTCAACTTCCATGCATCGCACTTGAGTAGTACGAAGTGTGTAAGTGCTTCTTGGTGCTGCAATGAAATTGTCACTGCAAATCGCGGGAGTTCGCTCGTTGCCCTTTTGCAACGCAAATAAAGAGAGCAGTGAGTCTAATATTATGTACACCTTCCGACCATTACTATCGACAGGAAATAAGTATATACAGTGTATAGAAATGAACTCTAATTATGATGAACGCTGCTGGTGTACCATCCAGAGTAATAACTCCTACTGATCCTGTAATACTGGTAAGCCCAACTCCCTCATAGTGGGAGTAGACAGGAAAAGAAAGACCATTACCAACCCCGCGGAGCACTGGACATCAACCCACCATAGCACGGTTGATATATCCGTGGCTTGGTGACAGCCAGCCAGAACTAAAGCCCCAAACTCCTGACTACTATCCAGGCACCTACAGGCACCACAATATTGTCGTTAACACCGGTGACCACCGCTTCTACCATGCTCCCCCAAAGCCCAACTGTTGCGATCTTGGCCCAGACTACGGGGGTCCATGTCTGGGTTTCTGTGCCTACCCACCACCTGCCCACGCTCAATCCGATCATAACAGCGAGAGTGAACGCGAGACTTCCTTCGATGCTTTTCCCACCTCTCCAGCCCCATTTAGTTCTTCCAAATCTTCTTCCGATTAGTGACGCGGCAGCATCGCCCAACCCGACACAAACTACCCCGCTGACGAAGGCTAAGTCGATATGCCTCCCTGACCAATCCCAAGCATCACCCTCCTCGGTGCTCGCGGAGGCAAGTGTAAACCACCATCCAATAGCACACCCAAGGAGCAAGAAAACGTGCGAAACAATTACAGGGCCTTTGAGATCCCTTCCATCAACAAAAGGCTGCAGAAATACGGCAATTTTTCCACTGAATGGCGGTAACTGCCCAGCTCTGACGGTGTCGAGGAGTAGGAAGACCGCTAGTGTCAGACTTAGCCCAAGATATGTGAATGCTGGATCTAGAACCCCCGGGATAAGAAACATGATGACAACCATTCCATGAAAAACCTTTCTCCTGGTATCTACTTGGATATGTGCCAAAATAGCGGTCACTAAACTAATTCCCATGGCTAGCACTACCAGCCAGTACCCAATTATAAGCAAACGGAGATTGGCCGCGGACGCGGCTCCCTCTGTGACGCAGTATCCAGAACCTGGAGCGATCGTGTCCACCAGATTCTGATACCAGCTCTGGCCGCAGAGGAGATATCCTAGGGCCCAGAGAAATGGGTCGACGCCATCCAGGGCATACTTCCCGATATAAGGGCGCAGTGCCACCATGACAACACACGCAACGCTACCATATACCCATAGAGAATATGCAAGTTTCCGCTTCCTAGCTTGCTCGTGGGTGAGAGAGGCATAAAAGGATTTTTGGCTAACGAACTTTGGCCTTGCTGACGGGGAGGCCTTTGACCTGATCCTAAGTAGCTCCCCTTCGCTATCGCTTGCTTGTCCCTTCGCTCTTAACGAGGTGAGCTTCTTCCATCTCCCGATGCTGATAATGGCATTTCCGGCGCGGCGCAGTTTGTGAGAAGGAACACGTGCAAGATTGACGTTCCACTTTATGACGTCTTCGCAGAGAATTAAGATGCCCAAACCCCCGCCCCAGAGAACAGCTTTCAGAATAATGGCTTGGGGTGACGATGCATAAATAAGAAGATTGATCAATGCCGTTGCAATCATCCTAAGCTCGGTTGGGGTCAACGAGGGATGTAGAAGATAGCTCAGGACCGAGCTTAATACAAAGTGAAGTGGCGGGAGAAATGAGAGCGCATCGGAATTAGATTTGGAGTTTAGCTGCCGGTGGAAATGCGCTGGGATGGCGAGGGGGAGTAGGGACAGTATCCAGCGAAGATCCCACCTCGGTATAAGAGTTGGCGGCAGAGATGACAGACTCAGAATCAAATTTGAGACAACGTACGGGTTTTGGCTCATTGTGTTCTCCTGTGTCATTGAAAGTGCGACCATTATCGGAAAAACGATAGGGTATAGAAGCGGTGATGGATCAAGGGATCTCGGAGGCACGAGGGGGTCGCCATGGAGCAGAATTAGAAGTGGGTGATAAACAAGAGTTGTAGAAAGCACACCAGCCCACGCAGCGAACTCTGGATCCCTAGGTTAGCAGAAGAAAAAGTCGAAAGAAAGAAAAAAACTCTTCCGGTAGTCTTTGAATTCAACCGCCAGCGCAAGCTCTATTTACCTTGTTTCCGTATACCCACTTCTTTCCAGATCCTGCCTTCTCGGCTGGAAAGCACGATACCAACTAATACTCCCATCAAGCCAATTTCAACGCCACGACGCATAATGACAATTCCCCTCAGTTTTCTTTTCTTCTCTCCCCCCCGTTTGCGTCTACCCTCGGGCAGTCTCCGTCGCAGTCTGCCTCTCTCGTCTTCATGGCCATCAAAAGTATCATCTTCTTCGCCGTAAAACCTCCTCTCCTCGGATGATGTGCGGCTCCTCTTTCCCGGTGGTGCTAGAAGCTTTCGCGCAAGTTCATCATCAGCTTCGGTACCCGATTCCGATCCCCCATAGCTGGGCTTTTGCGGAAGTGGAGAATTTGCGCGGGATCCATTTGGAGTGAGAGTTGGCGAAGGGGGGTATACTGCTTTGTCCGGGTAAGGGGCATGCTGCACTATAGGGGATGGGGGAGGTCTCCTCCGGTAGGGCTGTGGTGAACGAGATGGCTGCCGGTTGGCGACTGGAGAGCTGGGTCGGGAGGAAGAGGTGGGGACTTTCAGGAAATCGGTCGGTGGATTGTTCTCTTCCATCCTTTATGCTTGTCGGGGGTGTTGTAAAAGGAGTCAAATGGGGGCGCTGTACAGTAGAGGAGTGAGGTTATTATTTCGGACGTTTAGGGTCTGGATAGGGGTAGAGCCATTGGAAGGAGCGAGAGGAATTCGAGGAAGAATGAAGAGAGTTTTGAGGGCGGAGTTTTGTCTGGGTCAGAAAGACTGACGACAGCAGTTAGGATGGCATACCGTGCTGCACCGGCGACGGGGTTCGATGCAACACGTGAAAATGGATCGACCAGCAACAAGGGGGAACCGTTGTGGATTGAGTGAGATATCACTCGCCTGTAGGCTGTCGCCAACTAAGACTGGTATTTCCCCCGCGGAGCCTTCTCTTGATTTGCACTCTGCCGGTAGGGAACGTTCATTGCCAGATCGCCTATGGCACTGTGTGAACTGGGCGCGTGAAAGATGTTGGACGCCGGATAGGTGCCGCTAGGATGATATATTGGATTGAAGGAATCTGCCGTGTTCTGCGCGAGTACGAGTAGTCTATACGTTATCTTAATCGCATGTTGTCAGAGACACGATGGGGGATGTACTTGAGTACCGTAGAATGAGTGTGTTCAAGGGTAACACCTCTCCTCCCCACATGCGTGATACCGGGACCGCACGCAATACTATAAATTTAAGGGAGAAAGCGGAGGGTCCCACCTTGCGATAATGTGACTATTTTCATATCAATTACTTTACAGCACGCTGTAATGTAACTAGAAATTCTGTGGACAGCAAACCCAATTATAACAAAAAGATGTTTGAGCATAATATTTTATTTGATAATCTTATAGTAAAAACTAGAAAAATGTGTTAATAGGGATCGCATTATGCTACCTTTGTGTAATATATATTTGAGTACAGTGCATGAGTTTCCAGAACTATTAGGCTTAAGAAATGCTTATGTTTACAGTTTTACTGCAGTGTTGTCCCACTCCGTGTGGTTCGCACTGGGTACCGGCAATTACTTGTGCCAGAGACAATGGGTGGCTTGTTTCTTCACTTGACCTGGGGAGGAGGTTTTGAAGCTATAACTTACCGTACGAGTAGGTTGCATGCGAGGTCTGTGCTAGTAATGTACGAGTACAGTACAGTACCTTAAACAGATAAAGAGAAGGCTCCGATTTTTGCCATCGCCCTAGTGATAAAGACATTCAAAGTACCACCGTCGTATTACCGTAAATTATAGCAAAAACCCCCCAACTAGCGTAAACGATGAGACAGGGAAACGGCGCCTTTAGCAAAACGAAACAAACCGGCGATTCATACCACAACAGGAAAAACTCTGATCGTAAGCATACAACTTTGGAAGAGTAGGCAAGTTCGCTTTATTATTCAACATTCTCACTAACGAACGAAGAACGAACGAGGAGCAGTAAAGACAGGAGCATATGAATCAATCGCGCAGCCATCCTCCTCTCCTCCGATTGATCATGTCTCCCCTCCCTCTGCGTACTCCCAGACTGACAAGAGAGGGAGAACAGTCTTCACAAAGACGCTCATTGCTTGTTGCCTCTGGGCTGTTACTGCTCCGTCACTTTTACGCTTTCGCCCTGTTTCCGCCCTGAACATGATTTGCTCCGAGTGGATATCAGTTTTCCTTCCTCAGATGCCCAATTCCAAAGCGCACCTCCACGACCTCTATCCGAACAAACCAAAAACAACATCAGGGACATTCTGAGCATACGAGTAGGTTCCGAGCATTTCCAGCATGTCACGCATGTTCGCAGCATGTCGAGCAGCACCCACGACTTCCAACAGAGTTTTGGTGTAAAGGTGTCTAATCACTAAAACTTCTGCCCACCCGCTGTACATAGATTTTAGAAATTTCTTGTCAAGCGAGTCTCCATCTATTACTGCTGGAATTGAAATTACCTTACATCCCTAACCGGCATTTTCCGGCGCAGCAGCGAGAAGATTTTGGGGCTCCGATCCTGCCCGCAACATCTGGTCGAGCAGAAATGACGTTCATATTCCCAACACGAGGGGGAATTGAGCGGCGAAGCGATAGGATCGGTGCACGAAATCATTGTCGCTCCAATGCCAAACTCCCGGATGATACCAAAGCGCGAATCTTCCTATTTTGGTGTCTGTTGGCCTCGCCCCTCACGAGTCTCGTCACTCGTATGGGCTATCAATGAGTTTTTGAGAGAAACAGAGTGAAGCTTGATTTTTGATTACATTGACTCTCATGGGTTTATATCCTGAAAGAAAGGAACACGAAGAAACAAACACAATAACATAATCTGGAAGATAAGGAGAATCGAAGAAAACATACCATAGTTGAATAAGGCATGAAGTTAATGTTAAGAATGGTATGAAAAGAAAAGAATGAAAGTAATGTGGTGTAAGGAGCCAGTTGCATAGGAATGAAACTAGCACTGTACGAGTACGGTGGATAATCACTAAGTTCAACATGGGCATCTAGTGGTGGAATGCGTCTGCGAATTGGGTTTTTTGGGGTCGAACAGGGGGATATCAGGGGGTTATAGGAATATGAATCGACCATATCGGAGGGTTATCGGAATTACACTGAATCCGGATGGATCCAGAGTATGGCGGGGGTTGAGGTTCCAGTTTCGCTGGATGTCCTGGGTGCAATCTTGCTTCCCGCGGTCTTCGGTATCGTACCGTAGGTGAGAGTCATGATCTAGATTCTCGGAGGTCTTCTTCCCTATTCTCGGTTATCTGTGCCTCTTATAGATTCTATCTCTTTGCCATTAATCAACTCTGCTGGCTATGTTCCCTCTCATCACATCGCCGAGAAAAATAATGGTTTCCCACACCCGAGTGATTAGAGATGACCCTGCCTGGCAAGCAGCAACTTGCGAGCCGCCTAATACATAATGCACATCTTCTCCCCGGCACGTGCAGCAAGAGAAACGACCTAGACACCTACGGTTCGCCGAAACCTATCCAGGGAAGGCTTCAGGATGGACGCCCTCAGCGCTATCCATCCCGGGAATCCCACCAGGCCATGTGATCCATCCCGTCCATCATGGTGGGACTGGCGGGACTATTGGACACACTGGGCCACTGGCCCATGCCCCGGAACCACCATCGACCATTTTCACTTACTCCCTACGTCATAGAGCAAGTTAGATTCGGCGAGCGCCTTATGCCTGAAATGTGCTTGATTGATTAGCCTGCCTGCCGCAGTACCCTGAATGTCAACAGTTTGGGATGACATGGACTATTAGTCTAGTTATCAACCTACGGTACCGTAGTCGCCTATACGAGTACCTGGCACTAGTACCTCCTACTCTCTCCCACGGCTTCGGAAACCTTATTCCGTTATACCCTTGTATTGCCGTGACTGACCTACTCGTGCACTCTCTGCTCCATGGGTTAATCCCGAGTTAGTGGTCACGGTTAGCTAGTATACATGGTATAGTTTACCTCGTCTTTGTAGTTTTAAACACTCTCGCTCTGGCAACATGACGCCGTAGGGGGGTCGCGGTCGGGACTTCTACCGTACCCCACCCCTTCTGTAATGTAAAACAGGTTCTCAACCAACTTTAGCTTCCCGCCATGACAGAAAATTCACGTCCAGCCCCAGTGACAGTGCAAACATAATGTCAATTATTCCCTATTTATGTCTGCCCAAGAGCTCTCCTCGTGGCTTTGCTTCTCTCCCTCCCACGAATGCTAGAGATTTAGCTAGTTATATCCTAGGTGGGAGCTTCTGCGATATATGAATTAAGTGGCACTCTCTGGTGTAAGTCACCGTTACTCACTTGGTAACAAGAAGTGGATGGCATAGGTATGGTGATAAGGTATTGAAGTAAAGGCGGTACGTGGTAGGTGTTGAGTGATAGGGAATAGACATTACTCGAGTAGACAATCGGGGATACGATAGTAGTTAGTCGAACCGTTGGAGATTGAGATGGCGGATGTCGGAATGGAAGGTAATGGCAACCCTTGGGAACAATAAGAAGTAGAGTAAGAGTGTTCGGGGAATTTACGCAAGTTTGTTTGATTGAGATTCTTTGTCTCTCGCTAAAGGAGAAATTATTATCATAGGGAGAGTGAATCCTAGACTCATCTTCAAGAAAGCTGGCTGTCAAGCATTTCTTCCCAACAATAAATTTAGAATCCTCTAACCCTTTGATCATAGATTTATCTACATGGGAGATGTTATACTCCTCCCCGATAAATATGCGTTCAGCACTCGCTCAACTACCGCCCTCTGCGCAAGCCTGGTTGTTATCACTAAATCCGCAAAACCACAGAGGAATGTACCCTATCACGCTGACCGCTGTTTCCCGAGTACACTTTAGGCGGTGCGAGAAACCTGCTTGGTCCGCTTTTAACAAATTAGTCGTCTGAGCTCGAATAACTCCGTATTCCGATCCTAGGAAGCGGTCTGTCCAACAGTTAGCTGCATAATCAAGGGGGGGCATATTTCTGCACATAATTGAGATTGCCTCTCTTCTAGTACTTCTAACAGCATACGTCGGCAATGGGTTGTTTTCGGAGTCTTCTGCTAGCGGATAAAAGATGTAGAAATTAGCCAGCATAGGGGTACAATAAAGGGAACATGGGGTACACTACCGCTTACCTTGATCAACACCGCGTTAACCACGAACTCCATGGCAGTTTGGTGAATGATATAGACCCCAGAACTAGGAATCCACGTGAAAGAACTAGACGAATCCCTCACCACCCCTCCGGACACTTGGGGAAGATCCCGGAGGTCCCTAGCCACCCTGTCTCGCCTGATTGCGAGTGTGGAACTCATTTCTGAGAGGGTGCGAAGTCTTGCAGCTGCTACAGCCACATCCAATGTTCATCGGGTGCAATTGCAGCGGTGTTCCGTTAAGAATCTTGGTATAAATTTCTGCTAGATCACGGGGCGCAATGCAGGAAATGTTAGTAATAGTAAACTCCTCCCACAAGTCATCCTCATTATCCATCAAGATCTCAAGAACCCGAAGCCAAAAAAGGCGTCTCAAGTCGGGGGACGAGTTGAGGGGGGCAGGTAAGTACGGATTCTAGTCCTCAAGGGTTCCCGCAGACCAGCCCAAGGCCCCGCATCCTATCGCTAGGCAGTGCGATAGCATTGACATTGCCCCGCC